GTTTCATGAACCATGCTGTCGGGTGCTCTACTGCTGCTGAGACGTTACAGCATCGTGCTGGTGATAAAACAGTGACCAGGCGCTTCCTCCTTTCTGTGTGCGCCCCTCAGAGCCCTGCGGAACCCGGTGCTCTCGTTCCCAGGGTGGAGGAGGCGGGAGAATGGGTGCTTGTGCTCCTCAGAGACACACAGAGCGTGTGTGTGACATGGTGTCTCAGCCGGTCCTTCCTGGTGGCCTCTGGAGGGTGAGGTGGGGGTGCAGAGCTGTCACTGGGACACCGAGGTGACACGCAGCAGAGTCTCTGCTCAGGGGTAAGAGGCTGGGCGCAAGCAGCGTTGTGGCGTCCTTGGTGCACCGAGGCTGGAGGCTTTCTGAGGAGAGCAGGGAGCTGCCCCGCAGGTGGGACACCGGCTCATCACCTCACTTACCAGAGCTCTGTTCTTGCTGCTGTTGACCTTTACGGAATTGGATGAGACCCAGAGCTTGCAGCTGTGTTCTCTACACTCGCCAACACCTTTGGCTTATCTCCCTGTTGGCAGAAGCAGTGCTGAGGCCGTTGGTGTGGATGGGGCTGAGCTGCGTTATCGCAAGGAGCGAGGAGACGGCAGGAGCGCTTGTGCTACGAGCTGAACCTGCTGCAGATTGCTTCCCAGTCTGCGACGGGAGAGGAACACGCGTTGTTTCGCGTACAGCTGAGCAGAGGTTCTGGTGTGCTTCCTTGCATTCCAGCGCTGTGTATTCTCCGCTGGGTCTTGGTTTGTGGTTTTTCCTTTTCTTCATGCTTAGTTGTACTTTCGCTCTTCTGTAAGTTCTGAGCAGATGTTTGCACTCGAGGCTGCAGTGCTGTGTTGTCAGTAAAGCCAGAGTGTGCACGTGTGGAGGGACGCGGGCATTTCTGGGTAGCAGAAATTCGTGTAAAGGGGTTGTCTGCTGCCTTTAGCTTATGCTTTAGGAGCCCACAAGTGAGGCAGGTGTACAGGGCTCTGAAGAAATACTACAATAAAAATCCGTTCTTAGTCCAGAGAGGTTGCTTTGTGAATAGGGAAATGTTCTGGGCAGATGAGGGACCCAAGGGATAAGGGTACAGAAAAAATAGTGTTGGGTACTGTGAGCACGTAAGAGAAGGGGGAAAGCTGGAGACATCTTTATGGTACAGAGAGGAGTGCTCTGGGGCGCCGCGGAAGGTGCAGGAGGCACTTTGGAGGTGGCTGGACAGGGCCTGTCTGAGCTCCTTGGTGCTGTTCTGATGGCGTGTCCAGGAGGAGACACCAACAGCCCCTGTCTGCAGCTTCATTTCGCCCCTGGGCTCAGAAAAAAAAAAAAAAGCCCTTGCTTCAAAAAAATGCAAGAATTTGGTTCAAAATATGGAGATTTGTCAAATTAACTCTCAGTTTTAACTTGTTCACTAATTTCAGCTGCATTTGATGTTTGAAATGTGCTGGCTGCCAGTGCAGCTGCAGGAACCAGGGAGACAGCTGGGGGAGACCCCAGATCCCACCCTCGAGGGAGGGTGAGGTGCAGAGAGCTGGCGTCCAGGCTGCGTGAGGACGAGCGTCCCCGGCAGCAGGGATGGAGAGGTGTAACTGCAGCACGCGGTGCTCTCGCTGGTCCCTCAGGTGCTCTCTGAGCAGCTCGTGGTGACGGGTGTGCAGCCCCCCAGCCTGGAGGGGGGCCGAGAGCAGAGGCCGTTTGGGCTGCCCGCGCTGGGTTTCCTCCCCAGCAGCATTTGCATTACTTGCTCTAATTAAACTGCTGTTTAGCCACCTGGGACTTACCCCAGTTACTTTGTTGTGGTTTTGCTGTCTCACTAGCTTCTGTAAAAGCTCTGAAAAGCAGGCATAAAAAAGCTGGCTCTCTGTTTATTCGTATTTTCATTTGCTGTCTCCAGTGAGCTCGCTGGCTGAATTTCCTGCGTTGTAATTCAGAGTCATCTTTGTAATTCTGAGCTCAGATTGTGATTTGTTCAGACTCTGTTTCCATCACAGTGTCGGGAGCCTCATTGTGCTGCACAGACCCAGACCCTCTCTTTTTCTGTTTTCCTTAGCCCTTGGCAGCAATTGCAGGCGAAACGAGATCTCTTGTAAGACTGAGGGACTCCGGAGGGCAAAGAGCTCTTACCCGAGGAGTCCCACCATAAAAAAGCCAAAGAGCTCAACCGTTGCGTGGCTGGGGGTGCGTGCAGACGTTTTGGGGGATGGCTGGCAATAGGCGCACACCCAGATCTCTGAGCTGGCTGTCTTTGAGCATGCACGGTGTTTTGGGGCAGCTGCAGCACTTTTAACTTCAAGGTGATGAACTTGAAACACAGCAAAGTGTTTGAAGTATCATCTTCCTGAACAAACGCCCCGGGCTGTGGTTAGCCCCTGAGCGGGCAGGTGAGGGCTGGAGCTTTAAGGGATGTTGGGAGGTGAGGGGGGTTGAGGGAAGGATTCGGTCCGTCCATTCTGGGCTGAGCCGGGTTTGCTCACCCGTGGTGCGGGAGACGCCCGGTGCCTGGCTGTGACAGCTGGCTGGTGCCCCTCACCGTCCCCTCTTCCTGGGAGACCTGGCAGGAGGAGGGTTGCTCGGTGCCTGTAGCTGGTGTGTTGTTGATCTCTGTAGCTGGGGAGTGTACCCCGGGAAAGGCTGGCTGCCGTTTGGTGTTTGAGCCCAAAGTGCCCCTGGGACACACCTTCCCGCTCGTTTGTCCCTGGAGATTCCCAGAGTTCCCGGGCAGGTGCCAGAACCAGGACACACATCTTGCCTCAGGCAGCAGTGCCGGGTTTGTGCTGTGGTTTTGCTCTGTTAGGTGACCAGTTGGCTGGTCCTTTGCTTTGCGGCTTGACAGGCAGCCGAGCAAGGCCGGGCTCTTCGCCCTGCTGCCAGGCGGCTGTGCCTGAGGCCGGCAGCGCTCTCCTGGAGCGTCCCACCCGGCAGGAGGAGCGGGAAGGAGCCCTTGTCCCGAGAGAAGGTTTTCCACCCCAGCTGCTGGTTCTCGCTGGATGATCCCGAGTCCTGCCAGGCTGCTGGGATGGACAACCACTGCCGTCTGTGGCTGCATTCTCCGGGACAAGCAAAGGCTGGTTGGAGGCCTGAGGTCACATTTGGTGGAGGAGGCTCCATAGCTGACCTTCCGGCTTCGTCAGAGCGGCTTTTCAGTTTGCACGGCTCTTGTTTGGCGAGAGCTGGGGAAGAGAGCATCGGCAAGACTGGCCAGACTCTGAGGGGACCCTGAGCCAGCTGCATTTCTCTGTGGGAAGCTGCCAGCATATTGGTACCAGTATAACTGGTGTTTGTGTAGTTACTGGGCTGGACAGTGCTCGGCCCCGGCACCGGTCTGTGCAGCAGGGCACCGCTCGCTGGCTCATGTGCTGCAGGGACCAGCACAGTCCATCTCATTCCAGGCTTCTGCTCTCTCTTTCAGGATGCGCACAACTGCATCCCCGAGCTGGACAGCGAGACAGCGATGTTCTCCGTCTACGATGGACACGGAGGTAACTGCACCCGTGGTGTTCCCTCCACAGTCCCTTAGCTTTCATTTCTCCGGCGGTGGACCAGGTTCAAGAGGAGGGCTACATACAGCAGTTCATTGTTTCTCGCTTTCCTTTAGAACTGAGTTACCTAATTCTAACAATTTGTAAATAAGATTTTAAGACCTTTTTTTGCAATAGTCCTTGTTAAAAAGATCACCCTGAGTAGGTAGCTGACCAGTAGCTCTTCAAACAGTGTAGTTGCAGTTTAAAGCATTTAGAGTAAATGTTTTGAAATTATTTTATTCCTGAACATCATCTTAGAGTGTGCAGAGACCTGGGTGGAGCAGCTGCTGGTATCCTGAAGATTGTCTTTGAGGACATCGGGATGGTGGGTTGATTCCGAAAGGCAGAGAAGGACAAAGGAGAAAGGATCCAGGGATTTAGCAGCTGTTCAACTTCATGTCATTCCTTGCAGAAACCCAGGAGCCGTTTGTAAGCGTCTAGCAGATATGAAGATAAGCAGCATCTATCAAAAACTGGTCAAGAATCAAGAATATCAAACTGATCTGTTCTTTGAGATCAGTGTGTTAGCTTCCCAGCTAACAGGAAGATCTGTTTCATGTGTTGAGTTTTAGAAAGACTTTGGACACTTACAGCATTCCCGCTAGTGTAGGATGTGAAGTAACGTGGGGTTTTTTAAATACAAAGGGGAAGATTCAGGGTAGGCATTAGGGAAAGGCATTAATCAGAATGGCAAAGCCCTGGCATGGTTTTCTTGCTTGTGTTTTAGGTTTTCTGACATGTGTTCGACGTTTTCAAACTTGTATTTGAGGTTTCCAGGGACTGAACCCCTACAGCTCTTCCTAGACAACCCTTATCAGGAAGGATATGGGTGTAGTTGAACCTGACTCTGGAGAACACCTTTTACCCATCCCTGCTTTTGTGTGATTTTACTGATGTTCTTTACTTTGAAACAATTTCTCAGGTCTGTCCCGTGTAAAAGAAGGTTTTAGGGTGGGAACCTCTCTACGGTTTATTAGCTGCCAGTGCACAAGATGAGTTTAGCTTTTGTTTTATACCTTGCTCCTCTATCAGCCTTAAACTCTCCAGTAAGCTTCCTGCTCCAGGTGGGTTGGGAAGAGTTCTTATTATCGTGTTATTTGAAAAAGGGTGCAGTGGGTTTTTTTCATATTTAGCTTTCCATTTCACTCATCAGTTTTTCTTTCATGTCTTCCCCCTGAGGACAAGACTTAGAGTTTTTTAAAGATGCTGCTGGTTTTTTGCCTTTTTCCTTGCCCTGGCCTCCCTGCCCCCAAACCTTGGGGAGTGGTCTACAGGCACCCCGCACCCCCAGGACGGTGTTTCTGGCCGGTCTCTTGTTCTCGATGCATGCTTTATGCTCCTGGCTGTTCCTTTTGGTTTCCTTGGGGGAAGTGTCTTCACTGACACGCAGCTCCCCCTGTTCGGAGTTCGGCACTCTCGCAGTGAGGGTGTCTCTCTGCTGCTGCCGGGATGTTTAACGGGAACACAGTGAGCCGTGCTGCAAGTGTTTCCCAGTTTGTGTGCACAGCAATGGGTCTCCCGCCCTGTTCTTGGTCATCTCGCCTCCTGACCTGCCTCAGCATTCTGCCTCCCATCGTCTCAGGGTGGGAGTTAACGCTCTGGGTTTATGGTTTTTCTTTTCCTGCTCCAGTCCAGAGGCATTCTGTGATGTTTGCTGTTAGCTCGTTTATTTCTTACTTGATGCTGAGCTTTGTTTTATATCAAAGGTGTGTATGTGTCTAAATACAGATCAAATCTTGGAGCGGGATCTACTTTGAGCCCTGTGGAGGTGAGATAGGATGGGTTGGTGCATGTACGTGCGCTGAAACAGATCTGATCTAGGAACCGGTGTCTCTGGAGGCCCTTTTCCCGCCGCGGTTTCTGCCCTGGGGCTGCTGCCCGTTCTTGTCTTCACGTGTTGTGTCCACGCCTGTGCTCCTGGAGACAGAGACATCATCCTGCAGCGAGATTCCAGCTGGGCCGTAGGTGCTCTGGAGCCAGCCTTGCCCGAAACGCCAAGATAAATTGACTTTGTTCCATATTTCATCGACACGTGACTCCTGCTTTTACCAGGGAATCAGCGGTGGGCTTTGGCAGCAGCCTCCCCCCGTGCAGAAACCCACCCCCAGGCCTGGGCTTTCCCGTGTCGGCGTTCACCCTTCTGCCTGTCCTCCAGACACCCTGAAAACTCCACGTGCTCTTCCGCAAACAAGAGCAGTCTCTTTTTATGATTCAGTAGGAACATAAAAGTACACACTCTGGAGGATCCTCCAGATATTTGCTTCTTCACGGAATTCAGCGCTACACATCGCGTGTTTTACTTCAGCCTCCTGAAGATCTTCCCGCTGCTGCACCTGTGCTGCATGAAGCAGAACGCAGCCGAGGCTCTGGCATGGCTTTGCTGGATGCTGCTCCTGTAGAAAACATCAACGACATGATTCACAGAGGCTTGGAGAGCTTTACAGCGGGTTTCACCCTGGGGACGCGGCAGGTGTGATCCTGGAGTCGTTGTTGGTTGTGTTTTATGGTCAGATGAGGAACTATGCTTGCGGAGCGTTCAGCCCCTGAAGGCTGCTGGAGCCCCCCCAGCCGCAGGCACCCCTCACCCCTGGGTACCCACGCTGCTCTGGCCCCTCTGCTGCTCCTCCATCCCGCTGGGCGGGGAAGTGCGGAGAGGTGGGAATTTGTGAGGTTTTCTTTCCCCTGCTGTCTTAAAGCAGTCAGCGTCAGGGCCGCCGCCTCCTGCAGTGTAAAACGCACCTTGGAGCGTGCTGAGCCTTGCGGGACGCTAAGAGATGCAGATTTCATCCCTCCTGGTCAGACAGTCCTGCAGCCTCGCCCGCCTCGGCAGCTCCTCACGCTTCCCTCCCTGTGCTGTGTCGTACTCGCCCTTCTCTTGCTTGAACAAAATCGTCTGTTTTCTGGGTGTTTGCCTCTCTGGAAAATTCACGCAGTTTTGCTGCCTTTTGTGCTTCCCAGAGCTCTCCCCAGCTTTTCCCATTCTGTTGGAAATGTCTCAAACGCTTGTCAGAGGGGCAGCCAGGGCCGCATGCTTGGGAAGCTGTACAGCCCCGAGTGCTCGGTTCGTTGCTGAGTTGCCGACGGGTTATTCTGAGGCTTTGGTCACTTCTGATGCCCAGGTGAGCGTGAGTGGTTTGGGAATGTTTTATCCTGGTGGATACAGCCATAACAAGAGTGTCGGTAACGAGAAGATGAATTCCTGGAGCCGGTTCCATTCCTCTGGCCCTGTGGCAGCAATGTGCTTTGAGTTCTGGACTCAGTGTTTAGAACCCGTCGGATCCCGCTGGGGCGGGTGTGCCAGCAGCTGGACCCCAGGTCTGCATGCCGGGCCGGTCGCTGCCTCCTGCGCACCCCAGGGACACACACCCCAGGGACACACCAGGACGTGTTTTGGTGGGTGATGTTCCACAGCCGGAGGACTCCAAAGGAGGATCTCGTTTTCTCAGCGTTTTGGTTGACAAGCTGTCAGTGAGCACCTTTGTACCCTCTGAAGGAAGGAGATGGGGGACCCCCACAGCCAGCTCTGCTCACAGCGGGTGGCCTTGTTTGGGGGGAGCTGCAGCTGATGGAGAGAGAAGTCTGGGAGGCTGGCAAAGGGTCCTGTGTGAAGCCTCGTCGGTTTGCAGCAGCAGTGTCTGTTGTGGCGCCTGTGCTGGAGCTGCATGGGAAGCAGCGAAGGTTTCTTGTCCTGTGGCACGTACAAGTTCTCTGGGTAGCCCCAGCCAGGCACATCAGACACTCCTGGATCACTGCTTAATCTCAGTGTCCCTGGAGCGGCTTGTTTGCCCACCAGAACTTTTCACACCGGGGCTGGTGTCCTGCTGCTGCGGTGACAGCAGGATTTTCCTCTGCATTGCTTTGCGCCATGCTGCCGGGCTCGTGGAGAGCATCTTCCCGCGGGCTGTGCTCCAGCCCCTCTCTGGCCGCTCCCAGGGACGTGCCGGGGCCACGGCTGCAGGGCTGTCGGTGGCGTTCTCCGATGTAGCGACGTGTTGCTGTGAAGAAAATCCCTCGTGCCTCGCTGCGGCAGGAGGACTGCGCGTTGGGTCATCTTTTCCGTGGGGCAGGTGATCGGGTGTCCCCGCTGGTATTATTAGATCTGTCAGCTGCTCCCGGCAGCGCAGATCGCACAGAGCCGCTGCCTAAAAAACGCAGACCCCCCGGCAGGGACGGGGGTGCCCTGGCCGCTCTCTTCTCCCTGTCTGACCTCAGCGGGAGGCTGTGGCCCATCCTCTTCCGCCGGAACAGCGGTGTGGTGCAGGCAATGCTGGCTTGTACCCGCCTCGCCCCCGCTCAGCACTTGGGCAGGACCACGGCGCAGGTGACCCGCCTGTGTCCCTGTCATACGCTCCAAATGATGCTGCTCAGTGTCCCAGGGAGTGTCAAAACAAGGTAAGAGACATCAGTGCCCGTCCAGACCGCGCAGCAGGAGCAATGGCAAGTTGGGAGAGAAACTGGAGGAGACGGCAGCTGCCCCTGCGACGGCTGGCAGCCACCGGGGCTGTGTCTGTCCTGCGGGTCCTGGAAGCCGCCTAAATAACACACACAGACTGCTCCTGGCCTGTTCCAGGGCCATCTCAGAGTGTTCAGACCCGCCGGGCGGTTTTCTGACGTGGTCCAGGACCACATTCTCCTCAGTGGCTGTACTCTTGAGCCGCCCCTGCTCGCTCCCAGTTCATCCAGGTCTCTGGAAGACCTGCCACTGTCATCATTCACCGCTCTCTCCATCTACAGTTTTCTTATAGAAATTTTGTTTTATTTTGTCTCTTTGATAAAAGTGTTGCAGTATCATCTGGAGACAGTCCTCACGACTGCACATAAACACATCTTCCCAGGGGATTTGTTCAGCTTCACCTCATCCCTGGTAGCTGGCAGGTCCATAACCTGTTCTGTGTGTGCTGCCTTGGAAGTTTAACTTCTTAAGCAAAGTGCTGTCTTTTATATATATATATATATGTGTGTGTGTGTGTGTGTATATCAGTTATATATACATGTTAAGATACCTTACCTATTTCCCTATTTCTGTTACATCAGCATGCTTCGTTTTATCAGCCAAAATCCTCATACCTTTGAGCAGATGCTGAGCTGGGTTGGCTGCAGCTGCTTCCACAAGCCCATGACAGCAGACGTTACTTGTCTCCTTTTCGTCTGAGACCCTGCAGGGTCCAGCCAGGCCTGTGGCTGTGAGGTCGCGCTGGTATTCCCTTTCCAGTTCTCACTGAAATGCTGGGGTCGCTCTCGTTTCTCTCCTAGATCACGTCTCCCTTTTTTGTTTCTCCTCCCGCTCTGTGTTGCCGAGAGCTCAGTCAGGGCAGAGCTCGGTCTCTGTTGTCCGGATCCACAGCGTTGAACTTTGTGCAGCACGACTTCAGCCACTCTGCAAGGTCCCTGTTCTCCCTCGACGGGCCACTTGATCCCTTTTCTGCAGGCGTGTTTGGGAAGCCCCTCGTCTCCTGTTTCTTTCCCTCAAACCTCGCCACCTCTCGCTGCCCACGGTGTTCCCTCTGCCGGTCCCTTTGCCAAGCTGACGGCTGCTGCTTCCCACCCTTCTCCTCTTGTCCCCTCGATCCCCCGCTCCCCGTTCCTTCGCCGAGCTTTGCTCCCGCCGGCATCGCCTCTCGTCGTGCCCAGCTCCCTGCGCAGCCTCGTTCGCAGCTCTGCTGGGAAAACCTTCCTCCTGCGGCCGGAGGGAAAGCGCCTGCGTGCCTCCTGCCACACCGATGGCCGTGGGAAGGCCGGCAGTGTGCAGGGTGGCTCTCACCCTCGATCCCCCGCTCCCCGTTCCTTCGCCGAGCTTTGCTCCCGCCTGCATCGCCTCTCGTCGTGCCCAGCTCCCTGCGCAGCCTCGTTCGCAGCTCTGCTGGGAAAACCTTCCTCCTGCGGCCGGAGGGAAAGCGCCTGCGTGCCTCCTGCCACACCGATGGCCGTGGGAAGGCCGGCAGTGTGCAGGGTGGCTCTCAAGCACGGCGCTCAGCCTGCTCGCCCTGCTCCTGTGCCCTGCGATGGAGAACAGCTCCTCCGGCAGCGGTCAGCGTGCTCCTGCACCCCTCCGCCAGCCCCGGTCTGCCCTGCTCCCCTCCCTGACACCCTTCTGGGGCTGTCATTTTGTTTGTTTCTCAGTTTCTAGCTCTAATTTTTCTTTCTCATGACCCATGAGCCAGATTCCTCTGTCCTACATTGTTCTCCTCTCATATAAAAACCTAAATCGCCCTGCTGGTCTCTTACACATGCACTGCTCTTTCTGGTCCCCCTTGCTGAGCAGAAATTCACGATCCCTCGCTGTTTGATCTTCTTCCTCTCTTAACAGCACCTTCATGATCACAAAAAGCATCTTCTGTGCTCTGTTCTCTGCTTGACCGAATTAATCACTGAGCTGCTGGAGTGTTTCTGGCTTTTAAAAGTCTTTCAGCTGCACTAGGAGCGGGCGCTTGGTTGGAGCCGTTGACCATCGATCCAGGTTACCCCAGTGCTCTCGGTAGCCCCGTGCTCTGCCCACCGCTCGCTCATGCCGCACACACACACATGTACCTTCCCGTACCACGATGACCGCTCTGCCTGTTGGGACCCCCGTCGTCCTGACGGGCTCATCTCAAGGCTGAACATCAGGAACTCAGCCACTCAAGAGTGTGTTTTGCTGGGAGGAGCATCCTCTTGATGTGATTTCTGCTCTCTTTCAGGAGAAGAGGTTGCCCTGTACTGTGCCAAGTATCTTCCCGAGATAATCAAAGACCAGAAGGCCTATAAGGAAGGCAAATTGCAAAAGGTAAGAGCCAGCTCTGCCCCGAGCAAGCAGCAGCACTGCAGAGAAAAGCCCTTGTCGAGGTCCCTGGTGCGTACGTGCAGGGCCCTGCTCCTCCAAGGTCGGTGTCCCACATCTTCCGTTTCAGTTTCCCTGCCTTGTTTCTGGGAGCGTACACCAGGTGTCGGTTCTACTTTCCAAGATAAACCTTCTATTTTCCAGCTTTCTTTTTTTGCTTTTTTTTTTTTTTTAATTTTCAGGCTCATTCCAGCCAAGGCTGTGGGCTGGTTCTGGGAGTGGTTTTTTGGGGGTAGGAGCAGCTTTTGTCGGAGGTGGGAGGTCAGTTCCTGTCCAGGCGATCCCTCTCGTAATTCCCACCCCCCCCCTTGGCACTAAGGCCTGACCTGACGTCGGGTGTCCCCTGGGTCAGTGCTGGGACCCCAGCAGTGTGGGTGAGGGGAACACTGTCCCTCTGGAACTCCATTTACATCCAGACTGAGGAAACTGGGATCAGCGTGTGGCTCTTGCTTGACGCTGAAACGCCCAGGTGTTGTCGTGCTTTGCTGATCCCTTTTCACCCTTTTTCGGTGTGAGGGTGACCCAGGCGCAGGCTGCCCCGGGAGGTGGTGGGGTCTCCATCCCTGGAGCTGTTCGAAGCCGTCTGGACACAGTCCTGGGCACCTGGCCCTGGGTGTCCTGCTGGAGCAGGGGGACCCCAGAGGTCCCGGACAGACGCAGCCGTTCTGTGGCTCCGTACCGTGTGTGTTCCGGGCAGGCATCCCCAGGGAGGGTGGAACTGTGCACACTCTCACCTCTGTGTTCATACGTAGGCCCTGGAAGATGCTTTCTTAGCCATAGATGCCAAGCTCACCACCGAGGAGGTGATTAAAGAGCTCTCTCAGATGGCTGGGAGACCCCAAGATGATGAAGATGAGAAAGAGAAAGTTGCTGATGAAGATGATGGTAAGTGAGATGCCACTGAATAGACAAGAATGCAGCTCCAGCATGGGGACTGAGAGCAGGTGGGCCACGGCGCCCTTAGGAGAAGGTTTTCTGTCCAAATTTCTCAGATAAATCTCAGCTGGAGTCGAGCTGCCACCCCTCAGCACCATCTCCTGCTTTGGGCTGGTGCGAGGGGAATCCTGACTCATTCGGTAGCTTAGTCCTGTGAATAACAAACCGGTCTGACACAGTTCTCCACAGGGTTCCTCTGCAGGGTGCAGGTTCTGGGAGGTGGGCTGAGCTGTGAAAGTGAAACAGCGTGATGCCCAGTGCTGAGCTCTCCCGCGCTGGCAGCAGACGCCAGCTGCACAGAAGATTGGAGCAGGTTCTGCTCTCTTCAGCAATTCTTTCTCTCACAAAGCAGCAAGTGTGTGCTTTGCCACCGTCAGGTAGCTGCCAGACCATGAAGGCAGCTAGAAGGTGAATCCCAGGGTAGGATCCTCTGCTGCTCTCAGCTGAACACCTCGTGACGAGCCTTGAAGCAGATGTAAGGTGATGCCATCACCTTGAACGCTGTGTGTTGGTCTGAAAATGCTGAATTTGTTGGCCCTTATTCTCCAGCTGGCAGGGACAAAGTGGTTTGTTGGTTGGTTGGGTTTTTTTCTTTTTGTCCTGTATTTTCAGGAATATTTGGGATGTGGGTGTTTCTTTTGCTTTGGGGATGAACAAGCAAGGAAAATTCTAACCAGGGGGATGTCAGTAGGGAATCGAGGGCCATTGGCTCACAGTTCAGGGAAAGTTATACTATTTTCTGTCTGGTGTCCCCCTTGGGAGATGCTGCGTCGCTGCCTGAAGCTGTTCTGTCCCCTGTTCATCGGTGTCTCCATTGCAGTGGGTTGGGATCCTGGGGTGTGTAAGACCCATGGAGCGACTGCTGGAACAAAAACTTCTTGTTCCCGGTTGCAGCATTAAAGAACAAATCTGCACGTGAAAGTGGTCTGTCTGCTTCCCCGCAGCACTGGAGAAACAGGAGGCTCTACCCTCCAGCCTCACCTCTGATTTACACGCTCTGTCTGCCTGCAGCCCCACAGACAGCATCGGGGCTGGGGCGCTGCAGACGGCATTGCCGCGATGAGGAGCCGTTCCTGCCATCTGCATTTTGTTCATCTGCAGCACGGGAGCAGTGGAGCGGCGCAGGGCTGGCTGCGATCGACCGTGCCTGCTGGCGATCAGCCTGCTGAGCGTTGCTGAAGCCCGTCTGCAGCAGCACCTCCCATCGGGAGCACGGCTGAGCCCAGCGTGTGTGCACGGCTACGGCAGCGGGGACATGTCCTGCTTTCTGACCCGCTTTG